TTTCTCCTTAGTCCTTAATGTTCTGGAGAACTATAAGACAACATGCCCTAAAACCCATTTCATATTGTAGTCAAGTGGTGAGCCCATGTGTTGACCACTGAGTCAATAGTTAATAATCTTAAAGTATCATACTCCAAGAGGCAACAATTTCAGAGAAGCCACAATAACTTATTGTACTTGAAATAATTTACATAAAATAATGTGTGTATAAACCAGTACATATAATTTTTATCAAGTATAATATGATCATACAAAAACATTGACTCACAATATAGTTCACACATACCAAAGAAGGCTATTTTATTTTTGTCCCTTTTACATCATATTTTAGGCAAGATGATGAAACCCAGAAAATAACAAGAATGGACTAGTGTATAAAAACTGGGTATTTTATAAGTGAAACACATTCAGTCATCTACATCTCTCAAATTGCAAACAATGTGACTTACTATACCCTCAAAATGAACTTAAATAAATTATTGCTCAATTCTAATGACATATATGTTTTCACTGGTTGATAGTCCAGGTAGAAAAAGTATGTAAAGTGATTTATAAGTCAAAACATTTCATACAAAAGGATTTTTTTGGGGGTAATGGAAATTGAACTAAGGGACACTCAACCATTGAGCTGCATCCCCAGTCTTATTCTGAATTTTATTTAAAGACAGGGTTGCTAAGAGTTTTGCCATTGCTAAGGCTGACTTTCTACTTGAGATCCACCTGTCTCAGCCTCCCAAGCTACTGGGATTACAGGCATACATCCAAAGGAATGGTTTTAACCAATCCCTCATAATGTCAAGAGAAAATGCATTAAAATTAAAAATATCTGAAGCACGCATTTTTTAAGACCATTATAAAAAATACAAAAAAGGTTAAAAATGTCATAAAATAAAAATTTATACAGATAAAGTTAAGGGGTTAAAAACTATCAAATGTATTAAAATCATCTAAAGTCAAATAAGACATAATTTATCTATATAATTTAAATTATAATATTATATAAATATATTGCATATTATATAATACATAATAATATAAATTAAATAAAATATATTTATATAACATTCTAATTTATATTATATTATATATAATACATTTATTTTATCATATATATATATAATAAAAATATATAAATTATATATATATAAATTTTATGTATATTAATATATAAGTATATTATATATTCATAATATATTATATATAATTTATATAATATATTTACATAACATACTTATATATTTATATATAAATTATATATATTAATATATAAATATATAAGTATATATATTATATAAATTATATATATTACATATCAAAATGTTTATGATTCATATGCATTTAATATAAATTATATATAATATATGAAATACATATATATTATATACACATATAATAAAATACTATATAAATTAAATATATAAATATTATTTTATTATATATAACATATTTATTATATATCATATAATATATTTAGATTTATATTAATTTATATTATATTGCATATCATTGTAATGTAATTATATAATAATAATTTCTATTATTAATAAGATGATAATACAATTATTATATTAGTATAATTAATATTAATATAATATATAAAACATATGGATTATATTATAATTATATATAAACAACTTATATCATATAGAGATATGTAAATCTATAATATGTAGTATATAATATATAATACTTAATATATAATATATAAATATATTATAATTTAAATTATATAGTTTAGTTATTTGGCTTTAGATGGTTTTAATGCTTCTGATAGTGTTTTATCCCTTAGTTTTATCTGTACAAATTTTTATTTTATGACAGTTCCAAACTTTTAGTATTTTCTTTTAAATAGCAAACATTTATTGGTGTTACTTATGGTAGAAAAAAGTTCTTACACCAGATGTGCATGACCCAATCGTTAAATAGAACATTTCTGAGGTGAACACACATCCTGACCCACATTTTTATATCCAGTTTTTTAAGATAGCCAATTCCTCCTCTCTCTCTTCCCCAAAACATGTGAGCAACTGCTGATGGAAAGCAGTAAACAGCCACTTGGGCTATAGCATTTTCAACTCCACTTTGAGGTGAAGATTCCAATTACATTTGAGACTTAAATTCTCTCAGTTTTCTCCTAAGGAAAGTTCTGAGTCCAGTATTTACAATATTATAGCACTAGCAGATCAGTGTCTTCAACTTGTCTCTTTCTGCTGTATCCTCTTCACGAGTTGGGGGAGGGCCTACACTTCCATAGAATTTGCTGATAATTGGCTGAACAATTTCTTCTAGTTCCTTCTTTTTAGTTTTGAAGTCTTCAATGTCAGCTTCTTGGTGGCTTTCCAGCCATTCAATCTTTTCCTCTACAGCTTTTTCCATGGTTTCCTTATCTTCAGAGGAAAGTTTGCCTCCCAACTTTTCTTTATCTCCAATCTGATATTTTAGAGAGTAGGCGTAGCTTTCCAACTTATTCCTAGTATCAATGCACTCCTTGAGTCTTTTGTCTTCCTCAGCAAACTTCTCAACATCATTAACCATCTTTTCAATTTCTTCAGGTGTCAGGCAATTTTGGTCGTTGGTAATTGTAATCTTATTTTTGTTCTCTTTACCTTTGTCTTCAGCTGTCGCCCAAAGATTCACATCTATCTCAAAAGTGACTTCAATCTGGGGGACTCCACAGGAGGAATTCCAGTGAGATCAAACGTACCCGGAAGGTGGTTGTCTTTTTTCAGGGGTCTTTTACTTTCATAGACCTTGATTGGAACAGTAGGTTGATTATCAGAAGCTGTAGAAAAGATCTGAGACTTCTTGGTGTGTAACACAGTGTTCCTTGGTATCAGTTTGGTCATGACACCTGCCACAGTTTCAATACCAATTGTCAGGGGACATACATCAAGCAGTACTAGGTCACCTGTATCTTGATCATCAGAGAGTACACCAGCCTGGACAGTGTCACCATATGCAACAGCCTCATCTGGGTTTATGCCACAGGATGGATCCTTGCCATTGAAGAACTCTTTAACAAGTTGTTGAATCTTTGGAATTTGAGAAGAGCCACAAGAAGAACAATCTCATCAATATCAGACTTCTTCAAGTCAGAATCCTCCAGTACTCTCTGAACTTCTTCAAGTCAGAATTCTGACTTCTTCAAGTCAGAATCCTCCAGTACTATCTGAACAGGCTTCATGGTAGACCAGAACAGGTCCATGTTTTCTCTTTAAATTTTGCCTGAGTCAGGGTTTCAGAAAAGTCTTCTCCTTCATAGAAGGACTCAATTTTAATTCTTGCTTAATGTTGAGCACACAGGGCCCATTTGGCCTTTTCTACTTCATGCCGAAGATTCTGCACAGCTCTGTTTTCTTTCCTAACATCTTTGCCAGTCTTCTTTTTGTACAGCCTGATTAAATGTTCCATAACACTCTGGTCAAAGTCTTCTCCACCTCGATGAGTATCTCTATTGGTGGCCATGACTTCAAAGACATCAAATTGTCAATGGGGAGAAGAGACACATAGAAGGTTCCACCACCCAGATCAAACACCAGGATGTTCTTCTCTCCCTCCCTCTTATCCAGGCCATAAGCAATAGCAGCTGCTGTAGGCTCATTGATGATCCTCATAACATTCAGGCCAGCAATAGTTCCAGCATCTTTGGTCGCTTGCCAGTGGCATCATTAAAATAGGCTGATACAGTAACAACTGCATGGGTAACCTTCTTTCCCAAATAAGCCTCAGCAATCTCTTTCATTTTAGTGAGAATCATAGCAGAGATTTCTTCTGGAGCAAATGTCTTAGTTTGCCCACCTCCAATATCAACCTGAATGTATGGTTTGTGTTTATGTTTCTCTTCAAACACTTTGAAAGGCAAGAACTTGATGTCTTGCTGCACAGAAGGGTCATTCCCAGTGCTGCCAATGAGCCACTGGGCATCGAAGTCCGTGTTCTCAGGATTGGAGGTGAGCAGATTCTTGACTGTATCGCGGATCAGATGTTCTTCTTCAGGGGTGAAGGCCACATAATACGGCCTGATGCACTTGCCCTGATTGTTGGAGATGATCTCCAGTGGCCATTCTTGAACACCCCAATGCAGGAGTAAGTGGTCCCCAGGTCGATGCTGAACACGGTACCTATGTCCTTTTCTTGTCATCCTCCTCAGCCGTGCTGCGCAGAGCAGCAGCAGAACCATGGCCACCAGAGAGAGCTTCACCTTGCCCTAGCTGTTGGCCAGTTGCTCTCGTCAGCAGACAGCCAGAAGTTGCAGGCAATCCAGCAACAGGCTGCAGCTGAGAGGAGTGAGGTTACAGGTCTCTTACACTCGAGATGCCTCAACTCTGTCCTTCTGTGTTGTCTCTGCCAATTCTCAGACTTTTTAGTATTGAAGTGCATTTTCTTTCTACAATTGTATTAATTACCATATGTAAAAATTGACAAGTAGAATGCTAGTAAACACAGATTCGCAAGCTTTTAGGCCACTTTGTAAATATTAAAAAAGTTAAATGAATTGCCAATGCTTCCATACATGCTATAACAACACAAGTGTTCAAAGATGCACTAGAACATTATGTGGGAAAAAATATATTCATACCCAATCAAGATTTTTCAGGCACTTGCATTCAGAAGCATTTTATGAATCAGCACAAGGTTTGCTCCAAAATAAAGCTCATTTTCCCCTACTGTCCCTATTTGTTGAGAACAATATTATACATTAAAGATGCATTTACATAAATCATTTTATAGAGAAAATTATTTTAAATTTAAAATTATAATACTTATTTTATGCATAACTTCAAAAACACAGAATTTAAAGACAATACCAGTGAGCACTATCATCCTATATGACTAAAACACTACCATTCTATATGACTAGCAAAGACAATACAAGGCCAAAAGGCAAAATATACACTTTGGCAATCCTATACAAAAGGGGTTCTGTTACAATATTCTTTCATAAAATAAACACAATGCATAAAAATGAAACAAGGAAAAGAAAAACTGAATTTTGACAACTACACAAACTGTGGCATTTCAAATTCAAGGTCTTGTAACTCTTCCATTTGTTTTAGCCTGAGTCCCTGACACATTGGATTCATGTCAGGTAGGCCGAGCTCCTCAGAGTTCTCTTTAGGCTCAGCAGCTGGCTTCAAAGCATAAGCTAATGTGCTGTCTGCCTCTGGAACAGATTTATCCACATGACTCAGGGGATTAAGAGCCGTGCTATGAGGCACTGCATCTGAAGGTGAAGCTGGTCTCTCCTCAGTCCCCCTCACTTTGCTGGTCGGGGTAGGTGGTTTGTAAAATGTTGTCCCGAGATGGGGCTGCAGTATTCTGGGTGCTCTTGCAGGAGCAAGACGGTGAGAATGAGAGGACAGTCTCACTGGTGTCTCTCTTGCTGAACTGGCTGGTGTGTTGGGCTGTGTGGCACCGTTGGAATGGTCACCACTAACCTTGATGCTCATTGTCACTTTTTCCTGGAGTACACTTGGCACAATCACTGCACTCGTGCCAGTTAAGTTCTTTGGTTCACATTGTTGTCTCTGAGTTGGTTCACATTGTTGTCCCTGAGTTTTTTGTGGAATCTGCTGATCAAAACCATTAATTTGGGAGCCAAAACTAGTAGGGGTATCTTTTCTATTAAGCCCTTCAAAGGTAAGATTCTGGCAAAACTTGTCTGAATTGACATTTCCCACATTTCTGCTGTTTTTCTCATTAGGAGAGCTTGCAAGATGGAACCTATCTACAGGCAAACAGAAACATCTGATCTTGGGGCTTGGCATAGGCCTCTGTATATCATTTGTTTTCACATCAGATTTCAGACTAAGTGGTTTCGTGGTTTTACACATAGTGTCCATCTTTTGTGATGATGATTCAAGTTCTTTGTGATCTGAAAAAGAAGAGATTTTTTTTTAACTTCATGAAGCTTGGTTAATAAGGAAGTGTGGTTATTTATGAATGGGCATTCTCTCAAACAACAGAGTCTTACATATTTTTTCCAACATTATTTTCTCAGTCATCTATGCAGAGGAATTAAAAATCCATACAATATTAAAGGCACATTTTTAATTAAAGCATTACTTTGTAAAATTTATCTTAATAAAACAAATAGTCACAAAGCAAATAAAATAAAAAAAAAACACTTCCTGTAGTAACTTGTTTTAATATACTACCAATGAATGAATATTTTCTGTGTTAAGACTTCCCTGATTTCAACAGGCAGACAATGGTAACTCTAGAACAGTAACACTATTCTGTACACCAACAAATGCCATATCCTGAATCCCAAGGACTTTGCCTGTCACTTAATCTGCTTTCCAGCTACATTCTGTCCATACTGTGGGCAACACACCAGAGAGGACTTGGATGCTCTCCCAGCTGATCCACTAATACATGGTAACATCCTCTGGAAAAAGGAAGGTTGAAGAGCTGTCAAAATTGCCATTGTGCTACTGGTCCTGGAGACTCCAGACTTACCTCCTTCTCTTTCTCCTCTCGTCTGGTCCCAAGGTCCCTATTTTCTCACCTAGAACCCTAGCATCTCCCACTCTGTCTTTGCTGCATGTACCCCAGAAGCTCCTGTTGCTAGAAAGGTGCAGCCATCTGGCCATGATCCTCGTCTCCCTGCTGAGAAACATCAGACAACTGTGTGCCTTGCCACTGGTCTGATGGCTTTCCAACAGCCCTGTTCATAGCCCTCAGTTCTCATCCCTGCCACCTGGTCCTTCTCCGGTATCCTTAGGCAGTGGTTTGCAGACAGGTGCACAGCAGCATCACTTGATGATGATTGCAGGTCATCATCTCATCTGACCTCCTTCTTCACCTGAGGCTGCTGGCCTCTCTTCCCTGGTTCCCAGGCAGTGCTCATGTGATTTGCTGTCCTGGACCCTTCTCCACATTGATAAAAGGGAGCTGAGCCATTGTGGTTGGATGGCAACCACCAGAACATATTTACAGTCCTGCAGAAATTCTAGCACCACTTCTAGCTGCCTGGGTGCTGTCTCAGCTCCAGCTCCATTTCTGCCCTGGGCAAGCCTAGTGCACTAGCCCTACTTGCCTTCTTCTGTCAAGACAGACTCCTATGTGGAGATATGTTGGCATGTGGTGTTAATGATCTTCTAAAGAAAAGGCTCAGAATTACCTGGTATGTAATGGAAATTTCAAATATTTTAAAATTATTTATTGTTATTACTATACCTACCTGGGAATCCAATTTCATTGGACAGCGAAACAAGGTTACATTTATGAATGAGAGAGGATGAGGTTCAAACCCTGAATCAATGATAATTTAGGGACATGACCTTTGGCATTATTTACCTTCCTCAGACTGTTAGCTATGGCTTAAAGGAGGCCAAGGTTCATAGCACAGAAGTGCTAATAAGATCAAATCATATAAATGGAATCAGTGAGTCCAGTGCTTTTCTTTGCAGAGAGGTAATGGACTGTCTTTGTTTTCAGACTTTCTCAGGCTACACTAATTGATATTTCATTAATTTTATATATCAAATTTAACATTTATGGCTATATATTGAAAAATTCGGATTTAGCTCTACTAAAGCAGTAATGAATGAAAGGTTTTCAACCCCCTTACCAGAAACCATTCACTGAAATAAAGCGATGAAAAAACAGTGAACAAAAAGACTGGACCCAAGAAAATGGAAGACATGTGTGCTTAATGTGCTAAAATTTAGGCCACAGGTAAAGGGACATCAAAAAACTTTAGGAGTTTATTTTTTTGAGTTTCAGGAGTCCAGCTTTTTTCTGTTTTGACTTTAATTGATGACAAAGAAGTAAAGGTGAAAACAAATCTCAGAAAGAGAACAAAATTAATTTATGAACTTCAAGATATCTTTTTACAAGAAAGAAACAAAGCATGATATTCATTTAAATGACATTCATTAAACTTTCTCAGTGGCTAGAAAAGTTAACTAATAAAACCTTGAAGTTTGAACTTACCTCAATTTAATACACCTTGTTTTTTTTTAAAGGATGAGTATTGTAGATGGACACAATATTTTATCTTTATTTATTTGTTTTATATGGTACTGAGGATCCAACTCATGGCCTCACACATGCCAAGGCAAGCGTTTTACCACTGAGCTACAAGCCCAGCCCTCACCTTGGTTTTTAATCACGACTTCTTGGCAAGGTTTGAAATATGCAAAGATATATGTTACATGACCACTCACCAATGAGACATGCATCCCATTTTTCCAATGCATTTTGCTTGCATTCTGATTCCTCAAATGATGTAGCCAATTCATAATTTTTAATTTCAATATCTGCAGTGTGGATATCCCATTGATACAAGAAAAGTTTTAAACTAAAAGCAAAACACATCTCAAAAACAAACAGTTCAAAGACTATTAACTTGTTAACATAAACATCACATATTTAATCCAATTATGTAATGGTCAAAACTCACTTGCTTTGTAGAAAAATATTGTGACTTTGTGGAATGTTCTGTTGATATTACGGGTTTGGAAGGAGGGCTTTTATCCACCCAAGGTGCAACAACATCAGTACTAGATGAAACATTTTGTGACTCTAGGGACCCATTGAAGATCATCTGTGCATTGGTAATGAGGAACTCTACCAACAGGGCCTGATTGGCATATGCAACAAGAGAGGAGGAGATGGTACCAGGAGTGGTTGTAGGCCTGGGCCTCATCAGACAGGGTCCAAATACCACCCCCAAGGTTTTTGAGTTCATTAGGTTTTCTTCAGAATGGTCTACAACCCTGAAAAGAAGAACACATAAAGTGTATGAGATTTGCCTAATAGATGTCCTTAATGGTAGTTTACTATGACTTGAGAAGGGTGGAGAAAACTCAGGCTATAGAAGACTACAAAACGTTTGTCAAGGGTCAAGTTTGGTGGGTCTAGGGAAAGAATCCTTTGTTTCATTATGATATTTACCCCACACCAAACTGAGTTTCAGAGTACTATTTTAGGATAAAATGCATGTAAGTAGAAGGAACTACTGAACTCAGTAGCAGAAGGAAGAAAAACACCTCTAAAAATTGCTCCATCTTTGTATGTGGGATATATTCCTCATTTCTTATACCAGAAATGAAACATCACTGTCAATTTCTCTCTCACTGCCCAGTTAGTTTTCTTTTTTAAAAAATAATTTTTACGTAGAGATGGACACAATACCTTTATTTTATTTATTTATTTTTATGCAGTGCTGACTATCAAACCCAGTGTCTCCCATGTGCTAGGCAAGTGTTCTATCACTAGCCACACTCCCAGCTGCCCACAGCTAGTTTTCTAGCCTAAATGATTCTCTCTCCTGAACATCTCTCTGTTCTATTGCCATTATCAATGTTCTGGTTTTACTTCAAACACTGTCAGCTTGTTATTTCTATGACTATATAAGGAAATCTGTCTCTGCCTGGTTTAGCTATCAGGATGATACTAGATTCATCTATGGGTAAAAAATACCTTTGGGCTGAGGTTGTGGCTCAGAGGTAGAGTGTTTGCCTAGCACATGCGGGGACCTGGGTTTGATCCTCAGCATCACATAAAAATTAATAAATAAAATAAAGGTATTGCATCCTGCTACAACCAAAAAATAAATATTTTGAAAAAATCTTCTGCCTGTGTTCTTTGTTAAAGTCAACTATAAGTGAGAGTTACTCAATTAATTTAGCATGTCCCTTTAGATTAACAAAATCTAAAGTCAATCTGTATTTATTGATATCTTTTTCAGTACTGGAGATTGAACCTAGGACCTCAAGCATGCTATGCAAGCACTCTAGTACTGAGCTTCATCCCTGCCCATAAAATAAAATATATATGTTTGGTAGAGAAGTGACTTAGAAAGCAAATCAAAATCTTGACTATAAATTATATTTATGTTAATAACAAATTAATAGACAATGAGTGAAATTCTAAACTTTAAATGAAGTTTAAGCTTTAAGCTTCATTATGGGATTTTAAAACTCTTCATCTCTATCCTAAACAAATTATATTCACATCTGCCCCCCAAATAGCATAATCTTCAGCTGTTTTATTGGAACAAACATAGAATAGTGAACAAAATCTATAAAATGAATCAGAAACCCATGGGTTTTATGAGTAAGGGGTAAAAATATCAAAGTGCTAAAGAGCACAGATTTTACTTGGGCAAGAATGAAGATTAGCACAAGATAATATGACCTACAAAAACATACTGTCAACATCTCATGAAACTTTAAAACAGGCTGATTTGCCATGAATAGATCAAAAAAAAAAAAAGAAGTTCTTACAACAAATATCCACTGCCATAATGAATTTCAATGTTTCTACTGATCTACAATAGAAAATTCAGTGAACTGTTAGCTACCTGATGTCCTATAATATCTGTGGGAAGTTAAGGTGTTGCCCTGTGATCAGTTTCTATCTTCACCACTCTGGGATCTGAAGCAAGTCACTTCACCTCTTGGAGCTTTAGGTCAATGAGTCAGATAAAGGCTACTCTCTAACACTATTGCAAGAATTGAGCACAGTTTCCCAAATGAAAGTCTTAGACATACAAAATTCCTCAACAGAATGCAAGTTTATTGTATTGGACCCAATTCATCTCCTCTCCCTAACTGACTAAACAAGATTAAGGATGACACATTATGAGACTTCCAGTCATTCAAAGGTATCAACCTCCATTTCTCAGTTGAGGGGTCTGTAGAATGTGATTAAAGGGTTATCAATGCTTCCCTGGGCTAACTTTGTAGATCAAGCAATGTGTACTTAATTTCTTTCCCTCCTGCAATTCCACTAAAATACGGTAGGCTCATAAGGACTAGGAAAATAGAGAAAACAAAAAGCAACAATTCACAAGTAGAAGAGCAGATGAATAAGTCCTGATGCAGCATTTCCAAGAGAACTGACCCTTTGTCACTCAACATGTTTTTCAGAATCCTAAAGGGACATGGACAATCATTACCAGGTCCTCTGATCTTGGGTTAGGTTGCAGGTGGGCCAGCTGAGAAAGCTTAGATCTCTATAGAATCCTGTCTCCACTCCATGTACTAGGGCAATCTCCTTCCTAAAGCTCTGGAAATTTTTTCTCTGGGCAATGGGATACAGAGGCTCTCTGAATCGAGGCATTGCCAAACATAAGGAACAGAGAGGTAACTGTCTTCCAATGGGGATATGTTGGCTATATACACACTGAAAGCACAGATCCTACAGTCTTAGTAACCCTGGCTCCCACAGTATTGGTACTGTGTCTCTAGGCAAGGAAAAAAAAAACCTTTCCTAGGGGACTGGGGTTGTGGCTCATGGTAGTGCACTCATCTGGCATGTGTGAGGCATTAGGTTTGATCCTCAGCACCACATAAAAATAAATAAATAAATTAAAAGTATTGTGTCCATCTACAATTAAAAAAAATGCCTTCCCAAGAAGATCACACCAGTGCCAGAACAGGGAACTAGAGACATGTAGTTAGGCATATACCAAACAGTCCACCTAGACTACTTTATAGTAAAGTTCAAAGTTTTTAAAAAGCCTTGATGTGTGTTCAAGTGCTTCCAAAGTGATTTCAAGTCCAAACTCGTGTAACTAGATACCATGAAAGACAAAAATCAAAATGGGTAGAAAAAGAACAAATTGAAGGTGTAAAATGATGCTATCAATATGCTGTCAACTAGTCAGATATGGTGAAAGAGCACTGGAAATGCAGCTGATCTAAATTGAGATGTGCACTAAATGAAAAATAGATACCAGATTTCAAAGAAGAAGAGCTGCAATACAAATAAATAAATAAACAAAATACCTCATAATTTGAAAAACTAGATATTCAAAATGTTCAATGATATATTAAAATTCACTTCACTTTATTTTTAATTTTTATGTTGCTATAGAAAATTTAATGTTATATATGAGGGTCACATTGTATTTCTACAGAGGTTAGAGGCCAAATAGAGAAAAGAACCCTTAATGAGAAAAATCTATGAATATCCACAATAAAAGAGCATCATATAATCATTTAAAAAATGTTATCAAAAGAATAGAAAATCAGACTTCTTGAATATTAAAACATGATCTCACAAATGGAGTAATTTACTTATTCAAGAAGAAAAAGACAAAGAACTGTCTTAGAAAGTTTTTGAAGAAAAAAAGAACAATAAAGAAAAGGTAAGGGAACTGGAGAACAAGTATGCTTGCCAAGCAAGTGCAAGACCCTGAATTTTTAATCCCCACGAGTACAAATAACAAATTTATAAATATTTATATGTGTGTTTGTGTATGTGCACACACACACATCTCCAAACAAGAGCTTCAAGTGCAAATTACAAAGACAGATGGTGGGTGGGAGAATGGCAATAAAAATCAAGAAAAGTTCCAAGAACTAAAGCGCTCACAACTGATGGAGCTCATGGAGTGGCCAGAATACTGGATGGAAATATATCCACATCAAAGTACATCATTATAAAATCTTAGAATAATGAGGGGGGTGATGACATAGTCTATACCAATGAAAAATATGAAATATAAAATATTTTTGCTCTTTGCATTTGATGGTAGGTTTAGAATAAAACTTTAACCTGTTGAAGGTAAAATTTTAACACTTCACAGATGTCATGTGAAGAAAATTCGGATAGATCTACTAAATGCCTTCCGTTTTCCAGAGCTTGACACAGTATTGCGATTTTTGCCTTGTTGCCACTGACTCGATAAATTCCCTTGAAGAGAAAAGAAAAACAGAATGCAATATTTTACTTTAGTACAAAGGGCTAAATGCAGACATGTAGACAGAGTTGATGTGTCTACTTCAATTTTTATTAGTAGTTAAAAAATACAAGTTGAAGTTAAATAAATTAACCTTTTCCAAATAAATGTGAATAAATTTAGTTATTACAAATGGAGAGTGCTGATTTTCTTAAAGTCTCTTTTTCATTAAAACAAATAACAAAGGCATTTATGTTTTTAGAGTTTTAAGAGTAAACAACATACTTGTAAACACAAGGCAGTCTTTTCAATTTCTAAAGTACACATTTTGATTATGAAAGGAATGCCATCCGGCTCCTTTTTGGCAACACAGGACAATTCTTCTCCGAATAAATGTATTTTCCCCCAAGTTTCCGATGTCCGCAAACGATGGTTAAGTTTGCCATGCATTTTTTATGGCAGACAAGAAGACACTATAAGAAAATAATATTTCAAAACTGATTGACTCACCTTAAAATTATTCACAACTAAGAAAATTACAGGCAGACTAATAATGACAAAAATAAGTTAAAAAGTACTACTTGTGGTTTGTGAATTACATTTAACAGCAAAACAAAGTAGAAAACTATAGAAATAAACTATGGGACTTTATTAAAAATGTATTGGCAAGCCAGGTGTGATGGCATATGCCCATGATTCCAGCTTCTTGAGAGTTGAAACAGGAATTTCACAAGTTGAAGGCCAGACCAATCTAGCAAGAACCCATTTCAAAACACAATTTTAAGAAAGGGTGGATGGGCTGGGGATGTGGCTCAAGCTGTAATGTGCTCGCCTGGTGTGCGCAGGGCGCTGGGTTCGATCCTCAGCACTACATAAAAATAAAATTTAAAAAAAGATATTGTGTCCACTGAAAAATAAATATTAAAAAACTCTCTCTCTCTCTCTCTCTCTCTCTCTCTCTCTCTCTCTCTCTCTCTCTCTCTTTCTCTTCTTTCTGTCTCTCTAAAAATATGGCATGTGCAAGACCCTGAATTTAGTTCCCAGGCGTACAGACAACAAATTTATATATATTTATATGTGTGTTTGTGTGTGGACACACACATCTATAAATAAGTAAAATCATAACAAAAAAGTATATAGCAAAAGAAAAAAATTGTGATTCCAAAAAGATCTTACCTCTTCGCATTTAAAACCTCGAAATATGACAATGCGTTCACAGTATCTACATCTTGCAGGAAATCTCCATTTTCTGAACTTATGGGTGGTAGCTGCTTTTGCCATTAATGATTGCTGAAATGTTCCAAGGGAGCTGGGTCCTAACAACAGAAATGTTAGTATGTAAGAAGGGTAAAATGACAAAAACATATACCACATGATATTGTACTTGGAATAATTTTTAGACTTTGAAATTATTTATATATTACAAAAAGCTATTATTTTGCATTTCTAACATAAAAAAGCATCTCATTTATTGATCTCTTATTAAACACACATTTTTTTTCTTTTTTAATTTGCTTATGACAGTGGAATGCATTACAATTCATATTACACATATAGAGCACAATAGTTCACATCTCTGGTCATATACAAAGTATATTCATACCAATTCGTGTCTTCATACATGTATTTGGCATAATGATGACCATCTCATTCCACCATCATTTCTAACCCCATGTTCTCTCCCTTCCCCTTCCACCCCTCTGCTCCAGAGTCCTCCCTTGTTCCCCCTCCCTACCCCACTATGAATCAGCCTCCTTATATCAGAGAAAACATTTGGCATTTGTTTCTTTGGGCTTGCCTAGCTTCACTGAGCATTATCTTCTCCAACACCATCCATTTATCTGCAAATGCCATGATTTTATTCTCTTTTATTGCCGAGTATATAGGATTTTGGAAGAACCCTGCATGTTTTCATGCAGAAATTAACAAGTTGATTCTAAAGTTTATATGAAAATGTTAAAGATATGGAAGAGCCAAAGAAATTTTAGAGAATCTAGACTGCTTGACTTTACAATTCACTGTAGAGCTACAGGATTCAAGACAGTGTGATATTGGCCTAGGAAGAGACATGCAAATCAACAGAATAAAACGGAATTTAAAGTAGACTCTCTTGTGTTTAGTGAAGCTATTTCTTTTTTTTTTAAATTGATTTAATTTTTTAAAAAATACATGACAACACTGGAATGCATTTCAATTCTTATTACACATATAGAGCACAATTTTTTGTATCTCTGGATATAAAGTATGTTCACGTCAGTTTATGCCATTATATATGTAGTATACTTTTTGCATTACAATTCTTAATACACATATATACCACAATTTTTCATATCTCTGTTTGTATATAAGGTATGTTGACATCCATTTCAAGTCTTCATATATGTACTTTGTATAATGATGTCCATCACATTCCACCATCCTTGCTAATCCCCTTCCCCTCCCTTTCCCTCCCATCCCTCCCTAGAATTAATCTCATCCTGCCATGGTGTTCCTCCTAACCCAACTATGAGTCACCACCCTTATATGACAGAAAACATTTGGCATTGTTTATTAGGGATTGGCTGACTTCATTTAGCATTATCTTCTCCAACACCATCCATTTACCTGCAAATGCCATGATTTTGTTCTTTTTTTCATGCTGAGTAGTATTCCATTGTGTATAAATGCCACATTTTTTTAATTCATTCATCCACTGAAGGACATCTAGGTTGGCTCCACAGTTTAGCTATTGTGAATTGTGCTGCTATAAACATTGATGTGGCTGTGTCCCTGTAGTATGCTGTTTTTAAGTCCTTTGGGTAAAGTGAGAGAAGAGGAATAGCTGGATCAAATGGTGGTTCCATTCCCAGATTTCCAAGGAATCTCCATACTGCTTTCCCAACTGGCTCCACCAATTTTCAGTCCTACCAGCAATGTATGAGTGTACATTTTCCCCCACATCCTCACCAACACTTGTTTTTGTTTGTCTTCATAATAGCTGCCATTCTGACTGGAGTAAGATGATATCTTAGAGTAGTTTTGATTTGCATTTCTCTGCTTGCTAGAGGTGATGAGCATGTTTTCATATATTTGTTGATTGATTTTATATTCTCTTCTGAGAAGTGTCAGTTCAGGTCCTTGGCCCATTTATTATTTGTTTTTTTGGTGCTTAGGTTCTTGAGTTGTTTATATACCCTAGAGATTTGTGCTCTATCTGATGTGTGAAGGGTAAAAATTTGCTCCCAGGGTGTAGGCTCTCTGTTCACCTCACAGATTGTTTCTTTTGCTGAGAACAAATTTTTAGTTTGAATCCACCTCATTTATTGATTCTTTTTTTTTTTAATTCTTGTGCTATAGGAGTCTTAATAAGGAAGTTGGGGCCTAATCCCACATAATGAAGATTAGGGCCTTTTTTTCATCTATTAGATGCAGAGTCTCTGGTTTAATTCCTAGGTCCTTCATCTATTTTGAGTTAAATTTTATGCATGGTGAGAGATAGGGGTTCAATTTTATTTTTTGCATATGTATTTCCAGTTTTCCCAGCACCATTTGTTAAAGATGCTCTCTTGTCTCCAGTGCATGCTTTTGGCTCCTTTGTCTACAGTAAGGTAATTGAGATTTTATTTATTTATTTATTTATTTATTTATTGGTTGTTCAAAACATTACAAAGCTCATGATATATCATCTTTCATACATTTGACTCAATTGGGTTATGAACTCCCATTTTTACCCCAAATACAAATTGCAGAATCACATCGGTTACACACTCACATTTTTACATAATGGCATATTAGTGACTGTTGTATTCTGCTACTTTTCCTATCCCCTAGTATCCACCCTCCCCTCCCCTCCCATCTTCGCTCTCTACCTCATCTGCTGTTGTTCAATTCTCTCCCTTGTTCCCCCCCACTTTCCCCTCACAACCTCTTATATGTAATTTTGTGTAACATTGAGGGTCTCCTACCATTTCCATATGCTTTCCCATCTCTCTCCCCCCACTCGTCTTTGTTTAATGCTAATCTTTTCCTCATGCTCTTCCTCCCTGTTCTGTTCTTAGTTGCTCTCTTTATATCAAAGAAGACATTTGGCATTTGTTTTTTAAGGATTGGCTAGCTTCGCTTAGCATAATCTGCTCTAATGCCATCCATTTCCCTGCAAATTCTATGATTTTGTCATTTTTTAGTGCTGCATAATACTCCATTGTGTATAGATGCCACTTTTTTTTTATCCATTCATCTATTGAAGGGCATCTAGGTTGGTTCCACAGTCTAGCTATTGTGAATTGTGCCACTATGATCATTGATGTGGCAGTATCCCTATAGTGAGCTCTTTTAAGATCCTCAGGGAATAGTCCGAGAAGGGCGATAGCTGGGTCAAATGGTGGATCCATTCCCAGCTTTCCCAGGAATCTCCATACTGCTTTCCATATTGGCCGCACCAATTTGCAGTCCCACAAGCAGTGTACAAGTGTACCCTTTTCCCCACATCCTTGCCAACATTTATTGTTGTTTGACTTCATAATGGCTGCCAATCTTACTGGAGTGAGATGGTATCTTAGGGTGGTTTTGATTTGCATTTCTCTGACTGCTAGAGATGGTGAGCATTTTTTCATGTACTTGTTGATTGATTGTACGTCCTCCTCTGTGAAGTGTCTGTTCAGGTCCTTGGCCCATTTGTTGATTGGGTTATTTGTTATATTATTGTTTAATTTTTTGAGTTCTTTGTATATTCTGGATATTAGGGCTCTATCTGAAGTGTGAGGGGTAAAAATTTGTTCCCAGGATGCAGGCTCTCTATTTACCTCTCTTATTGTTTCTCTTGCTGAGAAAAAACTTTTTAGTTTAAGTAAGTCCCATTTGTTTATTCTTGTTATTAACTCTTGGGCTATGGGCGTCCTATTAAGGAATTTGGAGCCTGACCCCACAGTATGTAGATCGTAGCCAACTTTTTCTTCTATCAGACACAGTGTCTCTGATTTGATATCTAGCTCCTTGATCCATTTTGAGTTAACTTTTGTGGGTTAGTCTCTGTGTCCTCTATTCTGTACCATTGCTCTACCAGCCTGTTTTGGTGCCAATACCATGCTGTTTTTGTTACTATTGCTCTGTAGTATAGTTTAAGGTCTCGTATATTGATACCACCGGCTTTGTTCTTCCTGCTTAGAATTGCTTTAGCTATTCTGGATCTTTTATTTTTCCAGATGAACTTCATGATTGCTTTTTTCTATTTCAATGAGGAATGCCATTTGGGATTTTGATGGGAATTGTGTTAAACCTGTATTGTGCTTTTAGTAATATGGTCATTTGATAATATTAAGTCTTCCTATGCATAAGCAAGGTAGATCTTTCCATCGTCTAAGGTCTTCTTTTCATTTCTCTCTTTAGGGTTCTGTTGATTTCATTGTATAGTTATTTCACCTCTTTTGTTGATTCTCAAGTATCTTATTTTTTTTTCAGGATATTGTGAATGGGGAGTTTTCCTCATTTCCTGCTAAGATGATTTGTCACTGATATACAGAAATCCTTTTGATTTATGGGTGTTGACTTTATATTCTGCTACTTTGTTGAATTCATATACTATTTCTTGAAGTTTTCTGGTGGATTTTTTTTGGTCTTCCAATTATAGAATCATATCATCAACAAATAGTGCTAGTTTAAGTTCTTTTTTTCCTATATTTATTCCTGTAATTTCTTTCATGTGTCTAATTGATCTGGCCAGTGTTTCAAGAACTATGTTGAATAGAAGTGGTCAGAGAGGGCATCCCTGACTTGTTTCAGATTTTAGAGGGAATGCTTTCAATTGTTCTCCCTTTAGAAAGCCTGAGGCTTAGCATAGACAGCCTTTATAATGTTGAGATATGTTCCTGTTATCCCTGGTTTTTAAAAACCAGGGATAACAGGAACATATCTCAACATTATAAAGGGGTGCTGTCTTTTGTCAAATGCTTTTCTGTATCTATCAAGATAATCATATGATTCTTATCTGTAAGTCGATTGATGTGATGAATTACATTTATTGATTTCTGTTTGATGAAACAACCTTATATCCCTGGGATCAACCCCACTTGATCATGGTGCACAATCTTTAGGATATGTTTTATTATTGGATTTGCCAGAATTTTATTGAAGATTTTTGCATGTATGTTCATTAGAGATATTTGTCTGAAGTTTTCTTTCTTTGAAGTGTCTTTGTCCGGTTTTGGAATCAGGGTGATATTGGCCCCATAGAATGAGTTTGGAAGTACTCTCTCTTTTTTTCTATTTCCTGAAATACATTGAAGAGTGTTGGTAATAGTTCTTCTTTAAAGATCTTGTAGAATTCAGCTGTGTAGCCATC